ATATATGAAACCCACATACTGCAATATGTTAGGTATCCTGTTGCTGGTTGAAACTTGAAAGAGTTCATTGAGTAATAGGAGTTAGTTCTCTATTTCAAAAGTACTATTTTGTTCAGTTGACTTCCCTAACTTAGTCACCATTCCTTCTCCCTTTTTCTATATTTTTCCTGAAAACCAGAACTTGCAATGATGCTTTTATTTTGCTCATTAGATCATAATTTTTTGCGGGTGAAGAATTGAACACGAAGCTATGTTCTCTGGGTTTTGCCGTGATGTCTTCAATGAGCAAAACTCATTGTGTCTATAAAACGAGAGATTTTCTCTACATGAGATTAAATGAGCCATATATACGAAAGAAAGATCCGTTTACAATTTTTTTTTTATAAATTTTTGCGAATTACACTAGCCGGAAATATATAGTGTAACCGAATGTGCTTTCGGAATACATAGTGTAGTTTGTAAAATTTTATAAACAAAAAATTTGTAAATATAATCCTTCCAAAGTTTGTAATCGAGTATGCTTGCCAAATAATACGGATTGTAAGATTCTAATAAGGGTAAAGTGTGTGTCATTTCAAATGATGTAAAGTTCTGTCATTTTAAGAGAGAGAAAAAGATAGATAAAGGAAGAAAAAGAGTTGACAAAAAAAAATAAAGGTGTGGGTCCCATCTCTTTATGAAAGTGAAAAGATATAAATTGTGTCATTTAAAAGGATAAACATTTTTCGCTTCTAATAAATATATCTTTGAAAGATTGAGGCGGAGTTTGAGTCTCTTAATGCTATTAAAATTAAGAAAAAACGAGAAATGTTTTCTGATGTTGTAATCCTTACAATTCTCATGAGAAAATTAAAGCCCAAGTATTGCTATCCAATCATAATTGGTACTACATCAATGACCCAAAAAAACTATAACATCAATAACCTGAATTTTGATTTAGCCGATAAACACATTCGATGATTTACTGTAACTTGGTGAATAAGATTTTTTTTGGGTTAAAAAAAAAAATTGAAGAACTTAAAGGAATACGAATTACAAATACACAAATCCATATGCAAAAACTTGAAAGGCACGAATATTAGCATACCTAATAATATAATACTCGGAGACAAAAAAATTTTTGTCTATATAACCTTATTGTCTTTAGGTTCATTAAATTTAAGTATATTATTTTTAAGGTGTTTACTTAACGCCGTGGATCTAAACTTTCCTTAAAATCATTTAATTATATCTTGTTCTACGTTCCAATGAGATGATACGGAGGAGAATAATTTGAACTCGATTTCATCATATTGAACGAAAGAGGAGACTTTCTGTTCATGAAAATCCCACAACATTGGATAAAATCTACAATACCCAGTACCCACACCAAAAATCTCCACAAAGGAAAATCATTATACACTGATCGGCCATCTAATCAAATTAAATAACAAGAACTTAAAAAAGTATAGATAATAATTACATAAAGTGTCAATTGAATTCAACCAAAAACTTAAACTAAAAAATAATAACTACGTTAACACTTTTTATATTAACATCTCTAACACCTCCCTCACACAATAGTCTTTTTTACTTGAAGTTGAACATAAGAGTGTGTTCGGTGAACCGGAGGTTGTCGCTCATAAAAAGGGGTTGCCAGCATAGGATTGGTTATCGAACTGGTTGTCATAGTGTGGTGGCACTATTGGAAGATTGACAGCATTGGATTGGTTATCGAACTGGTTGTAATAGTGTGGTGGCACTAATGGAAGATTGGCAGCATAGGATTGGTTATCGAACTGGTTGTAATAGTGTGATGGCACTATTGGAAGATTGACATCATAGGATTGGTTATCGAACTGGTTGTAATAGTGTGGTGGCACTATTGGAAGATTGGCAGCATAGGATTGGTTATCGAACTGGTTGTAATAGTGGGGTGGCACTATTGAAAGAGGAGAAAAGTTAGTTGGGTGATGATATTGTGTGCTCACTGCATCCTCTGACCCTAGAAGGAGAGGATGCAACGTTTCAGATTGGCCAACACCCACTGCATGTACGTTGCCAATTGGAGAATAAGAATGCGAGGGAATGAAGGCATCATCTGTGAAAAATTACCCATTATTAGAGGTAAGTAATGATGGTAATAATATTCATGGAGGTAATATAGACTTACTTGGAGATATATATGTCCCATTGGAGTAAGGTTGTGATGCAACTGCAGTTTGCTGTAACTCCAATAATTGCTGTTCTTGTTGTTTCATCAACTTGTTGAATTGTTCTATTTGGTCCTTCACAATCGCTCTTGTTCGATACACCATGAAGAATTCTTCGTTTTGCTCTTCAAGCTTTTGCCAAACTGAAAAAAAACAGAAACTTAGAAATAAACAACAACAACAAATGATTGGTGAAATTAAGGGAACTGTTGGTTTTTAACCCCAATGCCCAATCCGTAAGACTAAAACAACAAATTAAAACTGCCAACAATTTCTAGAGGCTTCTTCCGTTTCTTTAAAAGAAGTTTGACAATCACATCACAACTACTAAAAAAAAAATCTAGAAATGAAGTGAAAAATATTATGAAAGTAAATCAATTAAAACTTTTAATCATGCTAAATACTATAGATTGTAGAACACAACAAAAGTCTTTGGCGAAGTGAAGGTGAAGAAAAATAAAAGTTAAAAAAAAAAAATGCCAGAGAAAGAAGGTTTTCGTTACCCAGTTCGGTGAAACCAGGCTCTATCTTTGCTTGGTCTCGTAGTGCTTCCACAACTTCTTTCTTGCTCATGTATCGTGATAGACAATGTTCTATGAGAATTTGCACCTATAATGAGGCAAGTAAAGGGGAAAAAAAAATTCCAGTTAGCAATCTCTCATAGATGTTAGATGAACTGAACAGTATACGGAATAATGAGAAATTTGGAAGAGAGGAAGATTTGAACAGAGGACATACAGAACAACACACAACAGTGATGATTTTAATTTAAAATGATATAATGAGAAATCAAAAGTACACAGAAATCCTCTGCAAAGCTTAACAAGTGATAACAATTAAGCAACTATACATTCAAGCAATCCTAACTGTTAATTACAATTAAAAAACCTGATTCAATAAAAAAAAAAATCCCAAATTAAATAAAACCCCAAACATCCAATATCTCATAAGTAATAGCCTAAAAGTAAATTCTCAATGAAATATGTTGTACATCATGGAAAAAATTATTTGCCTATATTTGATAAGAGGTACAGTAAAATTATGGTTTGAAATTCATCATTTTTTTTTTGTGTAAAATGATTGGGGAAAATTACCTTTTAAAGCATTAAAGGGGTGGAATTATTTTTTTCCTTGTGATGAAAAAATTAACATACAACATCAATAAAATTAACTTAACATTCTCGAAAAAAAATTAACCTACCAAACACTTTTAGTAACTTATCCAGAAAAAAAAAATTCATCGTATCCTCAGAAATTATTTTCTACCGATAAAAAAAATTTTCCGTCTACCAAAAAAGACCCTTAAAATTGAGAGAGAGAGTTCACAGCTTACCAGGCGAATATCATCATCGGAAACCTGTCTCGCGAATCCACTTGACATATCGGAAGTTATCAAATGCTGTTAACAATTACCTAGAGACATTATAATAAAGAAAAACGATTAGCAATGGCTCACTCCTTTAGATTCAATTGCAAAACATATAACAAACAAGTGATACATAGTCATCACATTCAAAGATTCCTAATTCTCTAACCAAACAAACAAACCATAAAATTAAATAAAATTAAATAAAAAAAATTGATGGTTTAGCTGCATAGTTGAAATCAATCAAACCTAAAAAAGACAAATGATAATCAAATATTGGAATTACGAACCCTATGATCAGAATCTCAAACGCGAGAAAACAATGCGCTTTACGTGATGGGAAGTTTTGGTTATTGTTCGGTGGGGTGCATGCACAGCAGAAGTAAAGATGAATATATGAAGGAAAGATAACCTAAAAGTGTGTAACAGATGAAATGCCTACTATTTATAATGGGTTATTTGTTGGACATTAATTTGGTTTGTTGTGAGGTTGTTATAAGATAATTCTTCTGTTACGATTCTCACTTGAGTAGTTGAGTTACTCTATCTATTTATAAGGATATGAACAGGATAAGCATATATCATATCCTGTGTTTGGTGTGCATTGGATTAATAATGTGATAAGATTATATTATCCAATTATGTGTTTGAAGTTTTAGTCTATATATATATATATATATATATATATATATATATATATATATATATATATATTTCTGTTGCCCGCTTTTCAAGTTCATTTCACGTCCAATTTTTCATTAAAGTCACTCTTATTCGTTTTATAAATAGGTTTCGTCTCTTTAATATCTATATGATAATAAATTATTTGATTTTCTTAAAATATTTTTGGAATTGAATTGTTAAATGTTAGAAGAAATATTGAAATTATTCCAGTAGTTATTGACCATACGAGAAAATTCCACACGTTTTACCTTGTATTAATTGTGGGCATTGTTTAATTTTTTTTAAGAGATAAACATCTCTTTTATTTTGAATTAAGGGTTATTATCCTCAATAACAAATTTGAGAAAATATAATCCTCATTTTGACCTCCTTAGAACGAAATATGGCTCAGAACAGTTTTTAGGGCATGTTTGAATTTGATTTTCAAAAACAATTTTTTATTTTTTAGAAAAAAAAGACTGTTTGTGATACGAATAGAAGGTCTAACCGTACAAGGAAGGAGTCCGTGAGGCTACATGACTATTATGTAGCATGATAGGTTGTGGAATATCATTAGTAACTAAGATGTAAAGGTTGTTAGAGATTGTGTGAGTTGGCTTAAGCCACGTGAGTTAGTTAGGGAAAATTGTATAAAAGGTGGACAAGAAGCATTGTACAGAGAACTTTTGAATAATATTCTGTCTTTTCGATTCCTTCTCCTCTCTCTGAGAGTTTAGTCGTATCATCTGGTGCTTTCATCGATCTTGCACTCAGCAACGATGCGAGTCCAAGACTTAGCGGAAGAGTTCGCGTCCCACCGTGTTGAGATCCAGCAACGATTGGATCAAATATCTGAAACCCTAGATGCGCGTTTGTCATCTATTTCTGCATTGGATGCTCGATTTGCAGCCATTGATGCTCGCTTGAGAGATATGTCTCCTCATGTTTCTCCGCACTCTTCGAGTTCAGCTTCTTCGTTACCGCCACACATGGAGTTTCTGGACACGAGAAATCCTTGTAAGCAAGTGAAGATGGAGATTCCGGCATTCAATGGCACCGATCCAAACAATTGGATTTTCAAGACAGAGCTTTATTTTCGTCTTCAGCAGATTCCTGAAGCGTTGAAGGTGCACCTTGCAGGCCTGAAAATGAAGGGAGCAGCCGCACCGTGGTACCAATGGATCTATGGCAGTGGTACAGTGAATTCATGGCCAGAATTTTGTGTCGCAGTAAAACAGAGGTTCGCTTTTCCTAACCATCGTGATGTGAGTGGGGTTCTTTCCAAGCTCACGCAGACAGGGACTTTGTCTGATTACATGAAGGAGTTCGAACGATTGATGAACCAGGTCACGAATCTGGGAGATGATCTTTTGATGGAATTCTTCGTATCTGGCCTCCAACCAGAGTTACGAGGAGCTATACAATTACATTGGCCTACTTCGTTGCATCACGCAATGCAGTTAGCAATGTCGTATGACTCTCATTTTAATGAGCTACGGTCCTCGTTCAATTCATCAACTAAGAAGTTCGTTCCCAATCGTTCTTCACCATTACCTTCTTGGAAAAACTCCACTGACAAACTGCTTCCGAGTACGTCTACCGTTGTTCTGACTCAAGGTAATACTTCAGCTCCTTTAGCATTACAGTCTTCGTCACTCTCGTCGTTACCCATAAAAAAATTACCACCAGAAGAATTGCAACGCAAGAGAGATTTAGGTATCTGCTATACTTGCGATGAGAAATGGACAGCAAGTCATAGATGCAAGGCGCGAATGTTACTGTTGATTGGCGAATCAGATGATCCTCCGCATGAACCAGAGGAGGAGGTTGTGTGGCAGGTGGCGAATACAGATGAGAATGTCACTCATGCAGCATTACACATATTGGCAGCATCAGTTAATCCACGTTCATTGCAACTGTCAGCTTTAATTAGGAAGCAGGAAGTGGTAGTGTTGATTGACTCTGGAAGCTCTCATAATTTCATCCGCAAACAGTTGGCTGATGACTTACAGTTGCCCATGTCTCGTGTAACTCGAATGAAGGTCTTTATGGGCAATGGTGAGTATATGATTTGTGAGAAAAAATGTGTTAATGTCTCACTGCTGATACAAGGCTTAGAGTTTGTGGTGGACCTGTGGGTTGCTGATCTTAGTGGGTTAAGTGTAATCTTAGGCATGTGCTGGTTGAGCCAGCTAGGGAGAGTCTCTCATGATTATGGTGACCAGTCGATAAAATTTGCATGGCAAGGTGGCTGTGTGAAATTATGTGGAATTTCAGATGGGGTCTCACAACACAGTATTGCAGAAAGGTGTTGCATTTTGGAGGGCCATCCAGGGAACATAGCTACTGGAGAGTTGACTTCCGAATTGGAAACTTACAGAGATAAAGTTCCTTTCCAATTGTGGCAGGTCTTGGTGCGTTGTGAATTGGTGTTTGCAATTCCAAAATCCTTACCTCCTTTTAGAGGAATGGATCATTGCATTCATTTGAGCAAGGATTCCCAACCGGTGAACGTGAAACCTTACCGTTACCCTTACCAACAGAAAGGTGAAATAGAACGACAAGTTTCAAAACTTTTGTCATCTGGTTTTATTCAATACAGCAAGAGCCCCTTCTCCTCCCTGTTCTGTTGGTGAAGAAACAAGATTCCTCATGGCGCATGTGTATCGATTATAGGGCCTTGAATTCAATCACGGTAAAGGATCGTTTTCCCATACCCACAATTAAGGAGTTGCTAGATGAGTTGCTGGGAGCGGTGATCTTTAGCAAATTGGACCTTCGTGCAGGGTATCATCAAATTAGAGTGGTTCCCGAAGATGTCCATAAAACAGCCTTCCGCACTCATGATGGCCATTACGAGTTCCTTGTAATTCCGTTTGGTTTAACGAATGCTCCCGCCACTTTTCAATCGACGATGAATAAGATTTTTCAGCCATTTCTTAGGAAATTTGTTATCGTCTTCTTTGATGATATCCTTGTGTATAGTTCATCCTTGGAGGAGCATGTCAACCACCTCACCCAGGTATTGCATTGTTTAATTCAGAATTGTTTTTTTTTTGTGAAACTAAGTAAGTGTGATTTTGCTGTATCTGAAATATCTTATCTGGGTCACATTGTTTCTGAGTTGGGTGTGAAAGCTGATCCAAAGAAGGTGTCAGCAATGCTGGAATGGCCCAAACCTTCTTCTGTTAGACAGCTGCGAGCATTTTTAGGATTGACAGGGTATTATCGTCGATTTGTGCATCATTATGCTGCAATTGCTGCCCCGTTAACTGGCATGTTAAAGAATGACAAGTTTTTGTGGAAGCTAGAGGCTGAGACTGCTTTTCAGCAGTTGAAAGAAGCTATGTCATCCACCCCTGTTTTGGCACTTCCAGATTTCACATCTCCATTTATAGTGGAGTCTGATGCATCCCAATCTGGTGTTGGGGCTGTGTTACTTCAACATGGGAAACCCATCTCCTTTTATAGTAAGAAGCTTGGACCGAGAATGGCTGCTGCTTCTACCTATATTCGGGAGCTCTATGCCATAGCCGAAGCTGTGAAAAAGTGGCGGCATTATTTGCTTGGTGCTGAGTTTATAATTCGAACAGATCACCAAAGCCTCAAGCAATTGTTTCAACAAACAGTGTTGACTCCAGAGCAATACAAGTTTGTTATCAAGTTATTGGGGTACAGTTTCAGAATTGAGTATAAACCAGGAATTTCAAATGTTGTTGCTGATTCATTGTCAAGACAGCATGAGGAAGTTAGTTTTTTATGCACTTTGTGGTTCGAACCTGAGTTTGATTTGCTCACTGTGATCAGAGCAGAAAATAATTCTGATCCTGACTTGTTACTGCTCCATCAAAAGCTGCAGAATGGAGATGATGTGGATGCATCCTTATTATGTAGAGATGGTATTCTGTTTTACAAGGGTAAATATTTGTTGGGTTCTCAATAGAAAGTAAAGGACCACTTACTTGAAGAGGCTCATTCTACAAAATTAGGAGGCCATGCTGGTACCTTGAAAACATTCTGCAGATTGTCTGCTACTTTTCATTGGCCTAAAATGAGAGATGATGTCAAGGCATTTGTCCAGCAGTGCATCGTATGTCAGCAAATTAAGACTTCTACACAAGCTCCATTGGGACTCTTGCAACCACTTCCTATTCCGGAAGCTGTGTTTGAGGATTTAACATTGGACTTTGTGACTGGTCTTCCTTGTTCAAACGGGTACAGTGCAATATTAGTGGTTGTTGATCGTTTAACAAAGTTTTCCCATTTTGGACCCCTCCAAGCTGCGTATACAACTTCGACAGTAGCTCAACTTTTCTCCAATATGGTGGTGCGTCTTCATGGCTTCCCACGTTCACTGGTTTCAGATCGTGATTCCATTTTCCTCAGCCAGTTTTGGAAGCAATTGTTCAAGTTAAGTGGAACAAAGCTCAGTGCTACTTCAGCTTATCACCCACAGTCTGATGGGAAATCAGAGGTCACCAACCGGTATTTAGAGCAATATCTGAGAGCATTCTGTTCAGAGGAGAATCAACGTTGGTCACTCTTGTTGTGTTGGGCTGAGCTTCACTACAACACCTCAGTCCATTCTTCTATCAAGATGACACCATTCCAAGCATTGTATGGCAGATTGCCACCCCACATCCCTCATTACCCACGTGGGATGGTTAAACTCGAAGCTTTAGATTCCATGTTGCAGCACCGTAATGAGTTGTTGACAAATTTGAAGTTGAACTTATCACGGGCACAAAATCGAATGAAGCTTCAGGAAAATAGACATCGTTTAGATCGGAAACTAGAAGTTGGTGATCTAGTCCTCGTGAAGCTCCAACCTTACCGCCAGATTTCTGTGTTGAAACGTTCGAACCACAAATTGGCTAAGAGATATTATGGGCCTTTTCCAGTGCAGAAGGTTATCAGCTCTGTAGCTTACCAAGTTAAGCTCCCTGAAGGCTCTAGGATCCACCCCACCTTCCACATTTCTGCACTCAAGCCGTTTCGTGCTTCACCTCAGTTTCAATGTGAAAGTCTTCCACCTCAAACCATAGATAACAGGCCCATACAGCAACCGGTTGCAATTTTGTCTTCACGGATGAGGTCAGCTAGGGGGCGTCCACAACAAAAAATTTTGGTTCAGTGGTCCCAATCAATTCCTGAAGATTCAACTTGGGAAACAACAACTAATATACGCAAGGCCTATCCTTCTTTAAACCTTGAGGACAAGGTTGAAGTTGTCCAGGGGCAGTTGATACGAATAGAAGGTCTAACCGTACAAGGAAGGAGTCCGTGAGGCTACATGACTATTATGTAGCATGATAGGTTGTGGAATATCATTAGTAACTAAGATGTAAAGGTTGTTAGAGATTGTGTGAGTTGGCTTAAGCCACGTGAGTTAGTTAGGGAAAATTGTATAAAAGGTGGACAAGAAGCATTGTACAGAGAACTTTTGAATAATATTCTGTCTTTTCGATTCCTTCTCCTCTCTCTGAGAGTTTAGTCGTATCAGTTTGATAATACTTTTTTAAAAAATAATTCTAGAAATCATAATAATTTTTTAATTTTTAAAATCAAATTTAGAAAACATAAATTTGTTTGAACTAAATTTGTTTGAATTCTATTTTTAAAATAGTTTTTAATTTTGAAAAAAAAACAAAAATACATATTTGATAATATCTCTTTGTAAAAATAATTTTAAAAATTACATCTGCTTTTTAGTTTTTAGAATCAAATTTAGATAAAATGTTTCAATTATTTTTATTTTGTATTTTGGCTTTTAATTTTAAAAACAAAAAGAGACAAAAAAAATTATTTATTAACTATTCTACAAAATAATTTTTTGTTTTTAAAAAATCAAACAGACCCTCATATCTCAGTTGTTTTTATTTTTTATTTTGACTTTTGACCTTTAGTTTAAAAAACAATACAAAAAATACATATTTCATTAATTATTTTATAAAATATTAAAAAAAACAAAATACAATCAAACATATTCATAAATAATGGGGATATTACTGCTGCACAATTGCTATTCGGTCACGGAAATCACCGAAACAAATTGAAGATATAGATATACTCTGAGACTTTTCAACGCCATTACTTATCAATAATTAGTGTTCATCAATCCATTTAAATCGATTCAAATTGCGGTAACCGAATAAAAAATCAATAACTGAATATATCGAAAATTAAAAAAATGAAAACCGAAAAAAATCGCAAATTTTAATTGGATTGGATTGATTTTTGGATGGGTAATGAAAACTGATCTAATCCAAACCGATCCAATATATTAATTTTTCTCTATCTACTTGAGTCTTTCCCCAATAATAGTCCAAAAATTTCTAAACTCAATACCCATTAACCTATCAACTAAATTCAAGAAAAAATCTAATCGCAACTCATCAACAAAATTTTATCTTTGGAGAGCTTCGTATCTTATTGTCCAAACAAAATAATTATATCATAGTTTACTAATGTTTTTTTTTTAAAAAAAAAAATTTACAAAGTCAATATACACAAGAGATGTTATTTGTACAATAATAATTAAACAAAGGGTTTGGTATTTGTCATTTTAAATGACATAAGTTATGTCATTTTAGGAGAGAGATACACACAAAAATAAAAATCATGGGAGAGAGAAAGTGGATATTTTTTTAATTTAAATTTTAAATAAAAAAATTAATTTTGTGTCTATCTCTCTCTTAAAATGACATAACTTCATGTCATTAAAATGACAAACACTTTCCCTTAAACAAATTTTTGGATTTTCAAAAAACAGAAAACCGATCCAATCCAAACCGAAAAAGATTGGATTGGATCGGATCGGATTTGAAAAAAACTCAAACCGAATGGATGATTATATGATCAGAACGAAGGGATTGGATCGGACAATTTTTGCTTCCAAAACCGATTCAACCTGACCGCGAATTGTTTATTAATTATTCTACAAAATAATTTTTTTTTTAAAAGAAATCAAACAGACCCTCATATCTCAGTTGTTTTTATTTTTTATTTTGACTTTTGACTTTTTGTTTTCAAAAAAAATATAAAAAATACATATTTCATTAATTAGTTTATAAAATATTAAAAAAACAAAATACAATCAAACATATTCATAAATAATGAGGATTTTACTACTGCACAATTGCTATTCGGTCACGGAAATCACCGAAACAAATTGGAGATATTGATATACTCTATGAGACTTTTCAACGCCATTACTTATCAATAACACATTGAGTCAATATTTATTTAAGACAGTTATATTTATTATCATTTTAAATTTATTATCTGTTTGATTATTATTGAATTAATTTAAAATCAATGATAACTTTTTTCAATCATTAATTTTAAATTAATGTAATAATAACTAAACAGATAATAGAAGTAATAAAATTAAAATAGTGATAAGTATAAACAAAATCCTAATATTGATCTTATAATTTTTTTTTTGAATACATCGGAAAATAAAAACAAGAAAACAACTACAGCTCAATCAAACATGTCCCTCACGACACCGTCCACCAAAAGCTGTGTGCACTCCGTCGGCGGATCAAAAAGCTGTATGTCCCAGCCAAAACCGTGAGCAATCGAGGCCATTACATATTATATAGTCCTATATTTTTTTTTGTATAGAGGAGAT